TCATTCATTTGAACCATACAGGTGATGATAGAATGAGATGAAACTTCGATCGTGTTTCACAGGAGTTAAAACTGGTCAATACTAGGATAACAGCTCTGTTATCAAGACTACAACAGGAAGACTCCAAAATCCTGTAATGCTTGTTTTGAGATTTTCACCATTCTCCTCTAAACAACAGAGCCATAGGTTAACAGTCAGATTCTCTGATCACATTTATGTATAGCACCATTGTCATTTCTTTTTCTTGACGCCTCAGGCCAACAGTCTCAGCCCCGAACAATCATTCTATTGTGCAAGGCTAGTGGCATTGCTAGTGGCAAGGAAGCCAAACGTGTTTTCTCCCCACTAGCACATCTGGTTTGACAGGGATCCAACAGTGCACTGATTTCAGTGGGCTTAGGTTGGAGTCACTCTATAGGATTGCAGTGCAAAGAATCTTTCCCTCTGCTACCATATCTGCTGCAGGGGAATGGGGCTCCTTTCTAGAGCTCCAAAAACCCTATCCAAAAAGAAAAAAGCCCTCTCCCTGCACTCCCATCCAGTGGAGTTCCATGGGCTCTGGTTGGCACACAATCACTTAGATTTGCAGGAGGCCTAAATTTCAAGGATTGGTTGAGAGGCAGGACTTTTTAAGGATGATTGCCACACCTACCAAACAGGTAGTCACACCTCCCCCCCACACATCTTGAAAAAGTAGGTGGAAAATCCACATGCAAAAATAAAATAAAATACAGGGTCTGAGATCCATTGAGATCCTTAGATAAATCTAAAGGCTTATTTGCAAATGGGGCAGAGGGTGGTGGTGATATTGCTTTTCCTTTGTAGAGGAAGTACTTGCGCCAGATCACAAATTGCTATGAAACTCGGCTCAGATACCCAAAGTCTTGCTGTGATGGGTGTCTCCTTGGGAGCTTGCCACCACCCCACATATATTTTTCCTCCTGTCACCACTCCACTTTCCCGCTTGCCCCACTGCACCAAGGTTTGTAGTGGGAAGTTAAAACAAGGACATAAACTGGGTTTGAGGGGAGATATTCAGGGCCTGAGTATAAACCCACCCAAGCCTGGAACAATCACTAGCATAAAACATATAGGCCCAGAGGGTGGTTCTTTCTAAAGGTGAACCAAAACAAGATACATATTTAATAGCTCTTAATTCCAGCAGTACAATTCCAGTCTCTGCATCCTGCCCTCACTTTTTAAAAAAAACCTGTCAAGTCGCAGCCAACTCAGGGCGACTCCCTAGGGTTTTCAAGGCAAGAGACATTTCAGAGGTGCTTTGCCATCACCTGCCTCTGCATCACAACGCTGGACTTCCTTAGTGGTCGCCCATTCCAGTCCTAACCAGGGCTGTCCCTGCTTTAGCTTCCGAGATCTGATGACAGATCTGTGCCATCCAGGTCAGGGCACCTTCATACTTGCACACATAGAATTAGCTGTACAATCCTTTGGATTATAGTTCTCACAGTTCACTCACTCTTAACTTTGAACACATGAAACTGCCTTATTAGGCCGCTGATCTCTCTTGCTCAGTATTGTTTATTCTGCCGGGCAGCGGCTCTCCAGGATTCCAGGTCCAGGTCTTTCATTTCCCCCAACCCCTTTTAATGGACGTTGTGAGAATTTTCCTCTTAGGGCCAGAAAATTGTATCTTTTAGCCAGGGATTGCACCTGGCATCTTATGTGTCCAAAGCAGATGCTCTGCAGCAACCCATGGCCCCACTCACATGCACCTAGGGCTGCCAGGTCCCCCCTGGTCACCAGTGAGGGAGGTGGGGATGGAGTTGCCAGATCCAGGTTGGAAAACTCCTGAAGATTTGGGGGTGGAGCCTGGGGAGGACAGGGACCTCAGGTACAATGCCACAGAGTCCACTCTCCAAAGCATCCATTTTCTTCAGGGGAATTGATCTCTGTAGTCTAGAGATGACCTATAACTCCAGGGGATCCCCAGGTCCCACCTGGACGCTGGCATCCCTACTGGAAATGGATACATGCCTCCTCCTCAGCTGGTAGAATGGACAATAGTTTCAGACAGACAAGGAACTTTAGCTGTTATAGATTTTCCGGGTTGTATGGCCGTGGTCTTGGCATTGTTTCGCCAGTAGCTGTGACTGGCATCCTCAGAGGTATAACACAGAAAGATGGAGTACTCTCTGTGTCAAGGTGAGAATTCTTCTGTGTGTCAAGGCGAGAAGACCTTGACACAGAGAGTACTCCATCTTTCTGTGTTATACCTCTGAGGATGCCAGTCACGGCTACTGGCAAAACGTCAGGTCCTACAATGCCAAGACAACAGCCACACAACCTGGAAAATCTACAACAGCTAATGAACTCTGGCCATGAAAGCCTTTGACAACATATTAGATAAGGAACTGTTTGTTGTAATGTCCCCTGGAAATGGCATATCATGGGTGGGGGGTGGGATACCTTTCTCCTTGCAAAATTTTGATCCTTTTTGATTTAAAAAAAAATAAAAATTCCCCTACACCTATAGTCTGAAGTAGTATGATCAAGCCCACCAGCCCAAAACCCTGCTGCCTCATTCTAGTGGCTGTGTAGACCAGACCACTTACAAAGGCCATGGAAACTGGCACTCAGAACACATGCTAAAGAGCTTCCTAGACAGTGAGGGATGCACTCTGGTGAACAATTGCCTACAGGTATTGAGGCTAATCCTTTCTGCCATCTGGCACGTATCATATGCAAGAATAGTGACATCACTGTGGTTCATCAACAGTTGTGGCAGGGAGGGATACAGTCTAGCTACAGATGCTGGACAGTTAAAGAGTTGAAAGACTAGAACAAAGTTTGAGTCCAGTGGCACCTTTAAGACCAACAAAGCCTAATTCTGGGTATAAGCTTTCATGTGCATGCAACACTTCATCAGATAAGAGTTGAAAGACTTAGAGAATCACTGTCTGCATACAGCTAGATTTCAGTCAAGTAGCACCTTAGAGACCAATGAGTTTTAAGGTGCTCCACAGATGATGAAAGCTTTTTGAATCATGGAAAAGGTCACACAGGTCTTGACACTTGAATTATAGCTACACAAGATGCAAACAGTAAGGCTTTATATACAGAAAACTGCAGCATTCATTTCAGCTATAGAGCCTGTAGTAAAGTTTGAATATAAAAACCGAGAAATCGCATGAGCCTTAAGCCAACGTCTGTGATGAGGTTCTTTCGAAAGTATTCCCAGTTTTGCATTATAGATCAGGCAGACTGACATGTTTGGGAGCTGCAGTGGTAGCAACTTATCCTCCAGTAGCATCTTTAGGAAGCAATTGCCTGGGTACACTGACTCACAGCCAGTGGGATACAGTATCAAACTAGAATCCAAGAGACCCAGGCTCAAATCCCCACTCTGCCAAAGTAGCTTGCTGGCTGACTTTGGGCCAGTTACTCACTCTTCCCTATCACCTACCTCACAGAGTTGAGAGGATAAAATGGAAGAAAGATGTAAGCTGCTTTGAGTTCCCATAGGAGAGAAAGATGGGGTATAAATGAAACAAAAATGGTTACTGCCTGTCAAGGCTCCCTTCTAAGCTGTGGAACCTTGTGAGCAAAAATTCCACTTTGTGAGCTACTGGCATTAAAGTTGTGAGCGAGCGATTTGACTACTGCATAAATTAGTTTGCTCTGGAGCCCTCCTTCCTGAGCTAAGACAAAAACCTGTGAGCTGGATGCTAGAAAACTGAGCTAGCTCACACTAACTCAGCTTAGAGGGAACACTGCTGCCTGTGCTAGATGTTTACCACCCACACCCATAGTCTGCTTTCATTTTGCATGTGCTTAGTTTTTTTCACATAACAAATACTCGGTTACAGTGCTCCATGTTCTGAGCATATTTTGGTTAGATTACTGTAATACATACTACATGGGACTTTTCCTTTGAAAAGTGCTCGCAAAATGCGGCAGAGTCAAGCAATTGTTGTGGATACAGGGGATCTGCACTGGCAGCTGTCTGGTTCCCGCCACAACTTGAAGTCCTGGTTTTTACTTTTAAGGGGTTAAGGACCACCCCCTCTCATACTGTCCAGCCTCCCAGTTAAGAGACTTCTCTCAAGCACTGCTCTGTACCCTTGGTCTGCAGAGATGAAGCAGATGGCAACAAAATACAGGACTTTCAGTGATCAAGCCTCACTACTGGAGGAATATAGTTCCCCCCCCCCCCAAGGCTTGCCAGAGGACTATTTTATATTATTGAACAACCACACTAAAAACTTTCTTTTTATCTAGGTTTTTAGTTGAAGGGTTTGAGCAGTTTTTATCATTTGCTTCTAGGCTGAAAGCTGTTCTGTGGCTTATTTTTAGCATTGGTAATTGTTATGCTTGTTATAGATTTTTTCCTTTTCCAAGTTGCCTCAGGCAGTTATCTCCACATTGTAAATACATAATTTTAACCCACTATTTAAAAAAATGCAAGTACAAGAAATGTGAAACTGATCTGGGTGAAAAACTCCTGACTTAGAAGTTGCTCTCTAAGTACTATAACTGTTCAAGACAATTTGATATGTGGCTTTCCTACTTCTTGCATTCACACGTTTCCAGTCTGGGCCTATATTGCACTGATAGTGACCTCTCACCACCCCAACTAACACCAAAAATACAACAATACAATAAGAAGGAACATTTTGGCAATGTCAGAGCCTTAAAATTGCATCCTAGCACTATAAACAGAGAGTTGGCTACTATTCAGTGGAATTAACTGTGTGATGGAAAGTGCCGTCGAGTAGGGTTTTCAAGGCAAAAGATGTTCAGACGTGGTTTGGCATTGCCTTTCTCTGCATAGCGACCCTGGACTTCCTCAGCGGGCTCCCATCTGAGTACTGACCAGGGCCAACACTCCTTAGCTTCTGAAATCTGATGAGATCAGGCTAGCCTGGCCCGTGCAGGTCAAGGCAATTAAGTATACAGCAAACCACTAAAAGACACTATGGAATATAATTGCGAATAGATATGCAACGAAGTATTTCACAGGGAAGATACTGACTCGGAAGGAGAGTAAATCATTTTATTTCACAATTTGCACACTGTGATAATGGCAAATTCTCAAACGCTGTCTGACATCACCATTTTCAAAGCGATGCCAGATGCGCAACACGTCAACAAGGACACCCCAGCCACTTAATCATCATCTCCCAGCTTCTTGATCTTGTACTTGTGACGTTCAATTTCCTTCTGCAGACGCTCTATTTCTTTCTTGTGGTGACTGATTTCCTCTTCATGGTGTTCTTTCAGAGCAGCCAGCTGTTCTCTCTCTTTCTCCCTGTAATGGTATGGTATTAATTGCCATGGAACATTCTTTTTTAAAAAATGCTGGGGTAAAGAGCACTTGCAGGACACAAAGAAGTGTATACAAATGCTGTTCCATCCCTCACCAAGACATACAGCCCTTAGCATAGCTATTCAAGATCTGTGTTATAACAGCTGGGGACAGTCCACTTTTCATGTCCATATGTACAATCTTTAATGGGCTGGACTCAAGAGCATCAGTTCTGTTAATTTAACACACTCGAGTCCTAGAGATGTGAAGGCCCGGAAAAAAACTGGAAAAATTCGGGGAAAAAACGGGTTTTTCCGTTTTTTTCCCTGAAGATTTTTTGTTTTTTTCTGAAAAATTGGAAAAATTGAAAAAAGAAAAGAAAAGAAAAAATGATTATGGAACGTTTTATTTTAACATGATGAATAAAATATTTTAAGACAAGGTGTTCAAATATTTTCCAAAACCAAACAAAGGTTAGTGGAAAGGAGGGCCAATATTAAAACCTTTTCATAAAAAGAGGTACATGTATTTATTAATAATAACAAATTAAAACATATATAGGGGCCCAATTACAACCAATATATATAAAACATAACCATAACCAGGGCTAAAAAAGTTTTATATATATTGGTTGTAATTGGGCCCCTATACATGTTTTATATACCTCTTTTTATGAAAAGGTTTTAATATTGGCCCTCCTTTCCACTAACCTTTGTTTGGTTTTGGAGTTCTTTGTTAGGTTTAGTTTTTTTCCCTTTCTTGTTCCTGCTTCCAAATATTTTCCAAATCATTTCTAAAATATATATATGGTATCAGATTGATCTAATTTCTGTGCACTGAGGACAAGCCAGTCCTAGGTTACAAACTGAACTCTCCAATGCAAGATGCATTTCTTCCTTTAGGAGGTGCTATTGTCAGAAGAAAATAAAAAGGTTTCAGTTTTGTTTTTGCATGTGGGTGGGTATTCTGTTTGTAATAATTGTTTGGATACACTATATTTTTAATATGCTAGTTGTGATAATTTCATGCCAAGTAAAAATGTCCATAGTCATATTTTATGTTCCTAAAGTAACAGAATGACTTTCAATCTAGAAAAGACAAAAGAAATGCTAATATAGCATTTTTTCAATTTTTCCGAAAATTTCCGTTTTTTTCCGGAAAAAAACAGGAAAAAAAACGGGTTTTTTTCCAAGCTTCAAAATTTCCAGAAATTTTACATCTCTACACTTGACTCCTACGGTGAGATGTAATAGGGCTGGCAAAAAGCTAACATTGGCCACGGTCACAGGGGCCGGATATCACGGGGGGGGGGAGGCGTGGCTAATTGCCCCGGAGGAAACTAACATGCGGCTGCCCGAGCACATGTCCCGGTCAAGGTCCTGTGGTTCGGGGGAAATGCCGATCAGACGGGTATCCTGCAGTACGGCACAGAAAGCACACCATGCGATCACACTAGCAATAGCTCTTTGTGCGCATGCGCTGTTGGGCGCTGTTGCGCAACCTGCAGAGATGAACAGCGGCGGGCACCGGATAAGTCCACTGGGAACGCGATCAGACGCCCGCCCTTGGCCTGCGGTTTCAGGAAACTAGTACCTCGTAGGTACTAGTTTTTAACTCCGCACCTTCGGCAAGGAGCCACGGGTTCGCCACGGGAGCACTGCGCTTCCCAGATGTTGGGGTGAGATTGCGCCCGGAAAATCCGTGGGACTCCCGTGCCTCTCCCACGGCAACTTTGCCGTGTGACCAGGGCCATGATTTCATAAACTTTGACCACAGAATACAATCCCTGCATTTTCTCTTCCCACAGCGTATCTTTAGACTATGACCCACCAGACTGAATGCAAAATGCTTGTCATGTATGATGGATTATTTTTGCTGCCTACAAAAAAAGGGGATTTGTCAAACAGACTAGTAGATGGCAACATGCGGGGAGGGGGCATATCTGACATTGTGGAACTGTGGGCCTGTTCTGAAGTTAGAGAAAGAAAAGGGGGAACCTCAGCATATAGTATGCAAAAAGGAAGAAAATGCTAAAGAAAAACCATCGACTATATGAATGTATTCTGCACTATAATACAAACAAATTTACTAAGCAACAGTCCATTGCATATTACTCCTATTTCATGCTAATACGTTAATTCTGTACTGAGGTTGGTGGTCACAACCCAACAGTTACTGCTTATAATGTTAGTATGCTCCCAGGCACTACTTCACAGCAGTAATAGCTCTTGAACATGACACAATACATTTGTATGGATATTACGCTACGCCCTCAGATGACATACAAAAAGTGTCTATAGACCTCCTGTGACACAATGATGCGACTGATATAAGGCGGAAATTTTCTATGATTCAACATAAGCTAAGAACTGCTGGTCTGCAATAATTTTGTGAATATATTCTGTAAAATCTGGTTCCAAATACTGCATGGGGCTCCAGTTAGTTTTGAGAACCTCCAGATTCTGCACAAGTTGAAAACTGTTGGTCTGCAATAATTCTATGAGTGTATTCTGTGAAATTTGGTTCCAAGTTACATGCGCAGCCACTTTGATCTGAGAGGAAAATAGACTGAAATACGGGCATACCTGGGAAATGTGTACGGCTGCACACCTGCTGCACATGGCTGCATAGTAAATTTCTGCCTTATATCAGCAACATCATTTTGCCACAGGAGGTCTATGGACACTTTTTGTATGTCATCTAAAGGTTTAGTGTAATATCCATACATATGTACTATGTCATGTTCAAGAGCTATTATAGTTGTGAAGTAGTGCCTGGGAGCATACTAACATTATAAGCAATAATTGTTGGCTTGTGACCACCAACCTCAAAACAGAATTAACACATTAGTGTGAAATAGAAACAACATGCAACAGACTATTGCTTAATAAATTTGTATTTTAGTACAGAATATAGTCATACTGTTCTGAAGCATCCTAACTCTTTGACATAAAACATGGTGTTATTTAAAGTGATATATTATTCTTGCAAAATACATGAGAACAGGAGAAAATGCTTGTCACTAAATATTTTCAGCGGGTGTAAGTACATTCCTAAACAAGCTTACTTGGTTTGCAAACAATTTCAATAATGCATCTGAATAACAGTATCTCGGACTACAGCCTCAGGCAAGACTGTAATTACAAATAAGTGTACAAAACAATGTTCTAAATCACTTTTGGTGAAGAAGCAGTGTTCCAAAATACAGCTTTGATCAGATAGACCAAGGCAAAATAATATACAGCCAATATTTGTCTTGAGCAAACAATATTGCTTTATTGCCCTGAGGCCCCAAGATACCCAGAATACTTAAATATTAGGCCTGCACTCTCTGCCCCAAATACTTAAAAACTTCACAAGCAAAGGAGCTGCAACCACATCCAAAAAGGAAACATCAGAGACTAGCAAATTTGTGACAGGACCAGGCACTTCCAGTTCTCAGTGCATTTGCAAATCTTCTGTTAACAATTGGGTGTCAAGGAACAGAGAACCTCACCCATCCACCAAGGTGAATTTTAAAAGGGAGAGGAGAGACTGTGTTGAAGAAACTTCCAGGTTAAATGCCCTGCCATCCCCTTTTTAAATATGTCAAGAAGCAGGTGTTGGAAGAGACTTGTCTCTATATGATTGACTTACATGAACCAGTGAACTGAGCCAGTATAAAGGGACTATAAATTCTAACTGGCTTCAACAGTGTAATAAGCACCAAACAAAGTGAATTCCCCACAAAAAAAAACCCTAGGCATTTAGCAGGGCTTAAGTAGCCCACTACAGCAAAACAAATGGAAACGCTGCAGTACCTTAAAGGCTGATATTAAAGCATAACAAAACAACAACAACAAAAAGCACTTTCAAGATTAACAGATTAAAGCATACAATAATGGAATCCTGGTCTTTAAAGTGCCAGAAGAAGCATTTTTTGAATGCTAACGTTCACCAGACTAAGATACCACAAACCAATTAACTGAAGCATACAAAAACAGGTTTGTGGCATGTTCAAGACCCCTAGCCAAGGTGACTCCACGTACACAGGAAGCAAACCTTGGTATACCAGAGCTCAGAGACAGCAGCAAGAGATGTCCTCAGTCTCTACATCCTGTTCATTGGCCCTCCAGAGCAACTGTGTGAAACAAAACCAGTATATCGGCCTTGTCCATTAAGGCTCTCCCCTCTATTCTCACAAACAGGTTATTTAAAGCAAAGGGGAATATATGGGCACCTTAGCTGCATCTCAAAAACAAACCAATATAAGCATATCCCCACGAAGGCTTAGAGCTCCGCCGCCTTTCCAGCGCGACAGGTTTCAACCTCAGCCTGCGGCTTTGCTACACCGGCTCGCCGGCAACAAGAAGCACCTACTTGAAATAGCGCTCTCCCGCGGCCGCCTGCCGTTTCCCGAAGGCGCCGCCAGCCTCGCGGATCGTTCCGCCTCCTCCACCGCCTTTACCCGCACCTTTGCCCAGCTCACCTAACTGAGGGAAGAGAGAAAGGGACGGGAAGGAGGAGGAACAGCACCGGGCGCCGCGGCTCTCTCCTCGCACCCAGCAGCGCTCGGCTCCTCCTCCTTGGTAAGGCAACACCTCCCGGGCTCAAGGAAAGGGCATTGGCCCTTGCCATACCTGGTCGGCCCCGGAACCCGAGTTCCAGGCCCGTTGTTGGTGTGGCAAGGCCAGGGCGCCGCGCAGACCGCTCCTTAAGGCAAACCCCACCGCAGCCATCTCAGATCTGCCCTTGGCGGGGATGGGAAGCAGCTGTGGCCAACGCAGAGGACTCCTTCCGGACTGACGGCGGAAAAGGAGGGGAAAAGGCAGAGGCCAATTAGAGCGTCGAAAAGAGGGCACGTGACTGTCATGTGTGCAAAGGGGGTGTGGCAGACGGCGGAAGGAGAAACTATGGAGATGCATGGGAGAGAGGGGCTAGAAGGAGAAACCACAGAGATGCAAGGGAGAGAGGGGCTAGAAGGAGAAACCATAGAGATGCAAGGGAGAGAGGGGCTAGAGTGACTTGTAAGGTCTTAAGCTTAGGTGGTAGGTCAGTAGTGGGTGAGGGTATCTTGGAAGCAGAACAAACCCTGGGCAGAGGAGGTTTATATGTGTTCCCAGAGCCTAGATTTGAATCTAGTAGCACCTTAGAAACGAATGTTTTTTGAAGGATAAGCATTCCTGAGTAGAGATCCCAACCTCCAGGTGGAGATCTCCAGGGATTACAACTGATCGCCAGGCCACAATGGCTATCAATGGCTACTAGCCATGGCGACTGAGGGGAACCTCCACATTCAGAGGCACTAAGCCTTTGAATCCAAGAGCCAGGAGGCAGGGAGCTGCTCCTCTAGGCAGCAGAGAACAAGACTCGCAATAATGGGTTTAAATTAAGGGCGGGAAGGTACCGGCTGGATAGTAGGAAAAACTTTTTAACAGTAAGAGTTGTGCAACAGTGCAATTAGCTGCCTAGGGAGGTGGTGAGCTTCCCCTCACCGGCAGTCTTTAAGCAGCGGCTGGACAAACACTTGTCGTCAGGGATACTCTAGGCTGTCCCTCCACTGAGCAGGGGTTGGACTAGATGGCTCTGTGATTCTATGGTTCTAGCATCAGGGGAAGGCCTCAGCCTCTACACCCTGTTGCTGGCCATCCAGAGAAACTGGTTGGCCACTGTGCGAGGCAGGATGCTGAACTAGATGGACCACTGGTCTGATGCAGCAGGGCTCTTCGTAGGTCAAAGATCAGTTTCCCTGAGGAAAATGGCCACTTTGGAAGGTGGACTGTATGGCATTATATCCCATTGAAGTTCCTCCCGAAACACCACCCTACTCAGGTTCTACCCCCAAAATCTCCAGGTATTTCCCAACCTGGAGCTGGCAACCCTATGAGTCAAAGCTCCCTTCCTCATATATCTGGCAAAGGAAGCTTTGACTCTTGAAAGCTTATACCCCCCCCCCAAATAAACGGCTGGGTTAGAACGGATAAAAGGAAGTACTACTTCACTCAAAGAGTGATTAATACATGGAATTCACTGCCACAGGAAGTGGTGGCAGCTACAAGCATGGATGGCTTCAAAAGGGAATTAGATAAGCATATGGAGCAGAGGTCCATCAGTGGCTATTAGCCACAAGGTATAGATAGGGACTCTGGGGCAAGTGATGCTCTGTCTTCTTGGTGCTTGGGAGAGGGGGAAACAGTGGGAGGGCTTCTAGTGTCCTGGCCCCACTGCTGGACCTCCTGATGGCACTGGTATTTCTGGACACTGTGTGATACAGAGTATTGGACTGGATGGGCCTTTGGCCTGATCCAACATTGGATCAGGCCAATGTTATGTTCTTATGTTATGTTTAAATCTTGTTGGTCTCTAAGGTGCTACTGGACTCGAATCAAGCAGTTCTATTGCAGATCAACATGGCTGCCCTCTGAAACTTTTTTGCACATGTATGCTTGAGTTCCACAGGGTTTACTCTCAAGTAAATGTGCATAAGATTGTAAGCTCCGTTTAGGGTGTGCCCCCCCCCCATTTAGTTTATTTGAATACCACCTTTCAAGTAAAATGCCCCTACCGGTTTGCAACACAGGATAAAGCCAGGATAAAGTACACTAAAAAGTACATTCAAATACAGTAAGACTCAATAAAAGTCTATTTCCCAGTCATGCCACTGTGCCCTCGAAGCCATTTTTAGTGATGTGATTTAAAGAAAGACACTTGCCACCCACCCCAGAGAGGGCAACGATCAGAGACAGAAAGACTGATGAAAGGGGGGATGTAACATGCAATAACTCCCCAAAGTTGAAAAGCTAGCATATGGGCAAAACGATCTGGCCCCTCCCACATCTTGCTTTGTTTTCTCCTTGCAGGGGGCTTTTTGTGCATGGGAGCATTAAACAGTATGAGACGCGCATTGTCTTAAAGAAACAATTACACTTAAAAATCAGCATGATGAAAACAGACAGGTATAGTTTAATTAGTTTAATCCAGGTGTGTGTTGATCAGAAGCAGGAGAACAAAGTTTGAGTCCAGTGGCACCTTTAAAACCAACGACGTTTTATTCAAGGAATAAGCTCTCGTGTGCACGCACATTTCTTCAGGTATTTGAGGGAGTGTGCGTGCACATGAAAGCTCATACCTTACATAAAACTTTGTTAGTCTTAAAGGTGCCACTGGACTCAGGTATAGTTTAAGTTCCACTGAATTCAGTGGGACCTACTTCAGAGGAGGCATACTTAGCACTGCAGTACAATAAACCTTTGAATATCACGGAGCAGATAATTTGTATCCTGCCCGGTGTCTGACCTAACCTGGATGGCCCCTTAATGTCTAAGAAGCTAAACAAGGGTCCCGTTCACATGGAACATTTGCCGCTCTAAAGATACGGATGATATGCGGATTTTCCAGGCGCGATCACACCGCAACATCTGGGAAGTGTAGTGCACCCGTGGCTAACCCGTGGCTTCTTGCGGAAGATACAGAGTAAAAAACTAGTATATACGATGTGCTAGTTTCCAGGAAACGCGGGGCAAGGGCGGGCATCTGATCGCGTTTCCGCTGGAATCCTGTGTCATCCAGCGCCCGCCCATGTCCCGTTGCAAACCGGATGTTGTTATTTTTAAGTCTCCACAGGATGCGCACAAATGCCCACTGGCACATGTTAGCACTGTGGTGAGGGGGGGGAAATTCCCATTTGCTACGGAAGCGGCACCTAGCAATTACCAGTATGATTGCGCCGCACTGCTTCTTTGCTGTGCTGCGGGATAGCCATGTGATCGGCACCTAACGGCATACCCACGGGACCTCCACGGGACATGTGATTGGGCTGCCGTGCCTTACTTTGCTCCGGAGCAAACAGCCATGCTTCCCCCACATTTTCTCGCCCGTGTGACCGGGACCAAGGTTAATCACTGGTTAGTATTTGGATCTGAGATCACCATGGAATTGCAGGGTCGCATAAGACAGGAGTGGCGCAAAGCGCCTCTGTTAATCTCTTGCTTTAAAAACCCTATGAGGTCGCAATACACGGCACTTTTCACACGCAGCATTTGTATCACGTACTCTTCTAGTCTTTAAGGTGCCCTCGACTTCTGTTTTATTTTGAACACCTGGAGCCGGCCATAGAGTTAGAAACATACGAAGACACAAAGACACACTGAGTTTAAACTTCCGGTTAAAAACCGAAGGATTCCTTTTTGGCCTCCTTGGATCAGGAACCACCAACACTGCACCAAAGAAAAGTTTTTTCGGACTAACGTGGGTATCTGCATCCTTTCTTAATAAGCCGTGTTTCTATACTCTAGATGCTACGTAAGGCCTTGCGTAATGAAAGCCTATTGGAAGTTCGAGTGGAAACCTGAGTCGATAGGGGATCGGAAGTGCTAATAGGAACTATGGCACTGGAGTCGTCAAAGAGGAAGGAGGGAGAGAGGGGACTTTATCTCGATTACGTCTTCGGGATCGCGTCACGTGGTGGGAGGTGCAAAGGTCACGTGACCTGAAAGATGGCGGCTCCGGGTGAGCGAGAAGCGGGCGGCGCTGCAGAAGAAGCGTTTCTCACCTTCTACACCGAGGTATTAAGTGCGACCCGTAAACCTTCCGACTCCGGCTTTGTCGTCGCTCCTCGGCCCTCTTTATCTCCCCCTTCTGCCTTTCTTGTCTAAACCGCAGCCCCGACTCTGAGCGAGGAGGCCTTCTCAGCCGCCCAGGCCTTTCCCCTCCGGGCCAGAGAAGGACCAGAGGCCCCTGTCCCGGTCGTTGTCGTGGTAGACACTCGGCTTCTGAAATAGATGGGATTTGGTTTTGGGATGAGGACCGGCCCGGGTCTCAGAGCCGTTAGGGTTTGCAGAGTAGGGAAGTTGTAGCTTCAGCTCCCCACCCCGCTCTTTAATTTTCTCTTGTTAAATTTAGAGAAAGGCTGCCCCTGGACGTAGTATCGCCGTGAATAAATCTTTCTTCCGTGAGGTGGTCTAATTGCTTCTTTAAAGCTAAGCGCGTGTTTTCACATTTTGCGGCACTGAGTTCTACACGTTCCTTAATCCGGAAGGAACTGTCTGTCGCAGTAAGACTCGAGAGGTACCTTAAAAACCTTGGAAATGTTCTACAGTGGCTGGTCGTTTGACCGTATTAATAAACTTGACTTGACTTGACCTGACCTTAAAAACCAACATTTATTCTAATATGAACTTTGGTGAGTCATAGCTCACTTCATCATATGCGTGAAGTAGATAAACATACGATCTAATGAAGCATGCATCTAATGAAGCAAACTCTGATTAACTAAAGCTCCAGTTTGCAGTAAATGTTACTAGCCCTTTAGGTGCCAGATTGACTTTGGTAAATTTACTGTGAAAATTAGCGAGTTGCACATTATGTGAAGTAGTTTTTTTCATTTCTGTCCCAGATCTACCATCCATTAATGTCATCAGCTATTTCTGTTGTTGTTTCTTTAAAAAAAAAGAGCTGTTAAGCATAGGATATGCTTTGTTAAGGTTATGAATGTAGCTGTTCTCCTTAGAATTGCTTGAGAAGGCTCACAAAATAAAAACAGATGTGAATTTTCTTGGGGCCCTTTAAGAGTTCATAGAATCATAGAATGTTAGAGTTGGAAGGTACCTTGCAGGTCATCTAGTCCAACTCCCTGCACTCTGCAGGAGCATAGCCGAAAGATAACTCTACAACATACCCGAAAGATGGTCGTCCAGCCTCACTTGAAAATGTCCAGCGTTAAAACATATATTCTAGTTTTTTCCAAGCCAAAATAGATGGTATTAGATTTTCTGAAGGGTTACATTCCCTTGGCAGAAGGCCAGAGTTTGCTATAGCTAAACATTTACCTAGCACAATTGCCATTGAGGAATTTCACTTTGGAATGTTTTACTGTACTTGTTTTTTTCTTTCTTTTGCCTTCTTTTTTCTTTGGGGTAAGCTAAAGCAGAGGTGTCGAACTGGTTTGTTACGAGGGTCAGATCTGACGTAAATGTCACTTTGACAGGCCAGGTCATATGTGCCGTAAAATACAACACGAGATACCAGAGATGTAAACTTTATAAAGATGATTTCAGATGCCGAATGGCAATAGCAGGCATATCTGGATTAGATGTGGTATGATATTTGGCATGGAGATATCAGCATTGGTAATGAGACAGGAAACCTAGATCTCAATTTGATGTAGGAGGATTCAGTCCAGGGGGATGTAAAGAATAAATGGAAAGAAGTCTGAAGAAGTGAGCAGTGATTCACGAAAGCACATACCCTGCAACAAATCTCGGTAGTCTTTAAGGTGCTACTGGACTCTTACTCTTTCTTATTGTTATTAGAAACCACAACATTAAAAAAACAGTGGGGGAACATTTTAACCTTCCAGGACATTCAGTTGCTGGAACATTTTAACCTTCCAGGACATTCAGTTGCTGACCTAAAAGTAGCAGTTCTCTTATAAAAGAATTTCAAAGGGAGAGTAGAAAGAGAGACTGCTGAATTGCAACTGATAATGAAGCTCAAGACAATGCATCCTCCTGGACTGAATTGAGACCTAGGTTTCTTCTGTCGTGCCAAAGCCTGCTATTGTCATTTGACATCTGAAATCACTTCACTCTCCAAGATATAAGGACAGGTGGACTCACATTCTAGCTGTATTTCAAGAAGTGAGCAGTGACTTATGAAAGCTCGTGCCCTGGCACTAATTTTGTTAGTTGTTAAGGTGCTAGTGGAATCTGGCTTCTTTCCACTAATAAATAATGTAAGCTGTACAGTTAAAACTGGAAATGGGCATCTCTCCAAATGCCATGGGACACCACCCCTCCCTCCCTCTCTCTGAAGAAATGTACAGACACACAAAAGCTTATACCTGGAATACAACATTGTTGGTCTTAAAAGTGCCACGGGACTCCATTTCCCTCTCTCTCTCTGGCTCTTTTCCTCCCCCTTCCAATTGAGGGAAGGGGGCTTGGCTTTATCTTTTCTGCAAAGCAGGAAATAGGAGACACTGGGCAAAAGGAGCTGTGATGCTGGCAACAGGAAGCAGCAGAGCGCCAGTTGCTTGCGGGCCAGATAGGAGCCCTGTGGGGGCCGGATCCAGCCCACAGGCCATGTATTTGACACCCCTGAGCTAAAGTCTAGTGCTGTAATCTATTAGTCTTAAGGAGCCATAGTATGCATGTTTTGTGTGAATAACACACACAGAGTTTTTATTCAACCTATCTTGTTTTTATCCTGCCTTTTCTACAGAGCATTCAGGACAGCTTTTCTTCAGTTTTCTGCATGTTCCCCTCTGATTTTCTCAACTACTTTCTCAGTTTCTCACCTTAAGAAGTGACATTCTGTAAAAATGCAAAACCAAACAAAAAAAGCCAAAAACACTAGTGTGACCCATTTAGGCTGAGTCCTGATCCACCAGTGTTCTGAAGTAAGGCAAGAGTGGAGTATGAACTAAGAACTTGGTTGTGTATTTCATTAGCATGTGCAAATCTTTGATACTTTTGTAGTGCAATCTGATGCATCTTTATTCAGAAGTAAGTCCCACTGTACTTAGTGTGGCTTATTATCTGGTAAGTGTGTGTAGACAAAAGGCCTCAATTGCATTTGTCTGTACCACTGTCCTTTGTGGACACCCAATCTTCATTTTACAAATAGAGAGTTGAAGAAGAGCCCTTTAATTAAAAATATTTCTGGAGCAACTTGGATTTAAGATTCTTCTTAATCCATGATACTTAGTAAGTGATTGGTGTCACTTGTGATTGTTTCTTTCACTTGTTGTTGGGAAGGGAGTAAATTAGAGGTGGGGAGCACAGTATCTGCCATCTTAAGCTACTTGGTAGAAGGGCAAGCTTTTAAAAAAAGTAAGAGTTAAAGACAAAGTTCTGCATTTTTTGAAGCTTAACCCTTCCACATTCATTTCCAAGGAAGTCAGACAAAGATGTAAAATGCATTGTAAATCCTGAAGAGAACCACAATCCAGCCTAGTTGTTTTCTGTACTACTGTTTATCCAGTAAGGCACCCCTGCTTGCTTGTTTTGGTGTGACCAGTTATAGGGAGAGACACATCAAGGAATTGAAGTCCCCACCACCTCATTATTAGGAAATCTTGCTCATTCCTTTCTCTGGCCTTTCTGTACTTTGTTTATGGCTTGCCTTTCTCACAGAGACTCAAAAGGTTCATCAGGTATTGGCCACACACTTCAAGGCCAGTATTTGCAGGCCGAAGGCCTACCAGCCTGCTTTTTATAATGAAGGCAGAGATGCTGAATATGTCTAATACTAGTTTCAACATTTTTGCATGTTTCATTCATGCAGTCCCTTGAGCCCCATACTAAATAACTGTAAATCAGTATTTGCAGGTTGTGTGATGTCAAATTCCAGAAGACACATAATTGGATTGAGTGCTGCTGCTAATTATTCCAGCCCATTAATTAATGCCAGTAAAATATAGACATGGCCTGGGCTGCGCTTAAGTGTTCTGAAGACATCCTCTATATGCACTTTCCCTTTTTGTGAAGCAGTTCTGATTATTAACAAAGGTTCTGATTTTTTTTGCAGGTGAAGCAAATAGAAAAGCGAGACTCTGTTCTAACATCAAAAAACCAGATTGAGAGGCTTACCAGGCCTGGAGCATCCTATTTTAACCTGAATCCATTTGAGGTAAGAATCGTCTTAATGCCTTAGTCCTGCTACACCTTCTGTTTCTTTGCTTGAGTGATTTAAAATGCATTTGGAACAGACACTGGATTGCCCATTTGTACAATCCTGATCCTGCTAGTAGCTGCCTGAATAGCCTGATCTCATCACAGCTTGGAAACAAAGCAGGGTCAGCCATGGTCAGTACTTGGATGGGAGACTACCAGGGAAGACTACGGGATTGTTCTGCAGGAGAAGGCAATGACAAACCACCTCTGCTCATCTCTTGCCTTGAAAACCCCATGGCTCTGGGGTTGCCATGAGTTGGTTGTGACATTACGGCACACAGCTATTGTTATCCTGCTAATATAAGTTGTATGTGGCCCATTATTGGCAGGTGTTATTTGCAAACTGCACAATTGACAGTTTAGGACCAGTTCATAGCAGATGCTTTCCTCCAGGCCAGGGGTGGCCAAACTTGCTTAACATAACAGCCACACAGAATAAACGTCAGATGTTTTAGAGCCGCAACACATGAACAAAAACACACATTTTTATTGGAAAATATGAAAATTTGCTTTTTATTAACATTAAATTAGACAGGCAGATAAGAACTAGCTCTCTTTGGTTTGGTTTCTAGTTGCAGGATTCATTTTGTGTACCTTTTTATATGGATGATTGAAAAAGCATCTTCATCACTCCTTGGGGTAGAGTCACTGAATCTGCAAAAAAACCCAGAACCCATATTACAGTCATTCCTCATAGGCATTCTGTTGAGCACAGCAGAAGACGAGGGCCCACCCTGATTTTTCTTGTGAAGATCAAATTTTGACAGATTTTTTCCCTCCCACTGTTCCTACGTAGTATTCTGTCAATTTGTAAGGGAAGCTCTGTTTAATGGAGTTCTTACACATATATATACATTCAAAGTCTGATTTTATTGTTCTATAACCCACTGTGAGCTCATTCGCAGGAAGGGCAGGATAGAAATTGAACCAAACAAATAAATTAAAAAAATATATAGACTGTGACTCCTTTGGGACAGACTTCCAAATGCTGTCCCTGTAGCCCATATGTACAGTAGTAGAGTCTTCCATTCTTGAAATGGGCATGGTTTTCTAAGTCTTTCCATTGTGAAGCCACTTCTGTTGGTTTCTCAGCCTCACTACCAAGACTAACAGAGGAAAATATATCTGAACATACTAATGGTGTTTTGAATCCTGTTTAATGACTAAAAATGTAATTCTAGGAAGATGAATATAATAATGTCTATTAGGGCACCTTTTTTTTGCCTGTGAGAATCAAGTGAAGCTATAGAGATTTAGAACTGTTTGAAACTGGAGTTACTTAGTTTGGTGTAGTGGTTAAGAGTGGCAGACTAATCTGGAGAACCGGGTTTCATTCCTCACTCCTCCACATGCAGCCAGCTGGGTGACCTTGGGTCAGTCACAGTTCTGTCAGAGCTGTTCTCTCAGGAGCAGTTCTCTCAGAGCTCTCTCAGCCCCACCTATCTCTCAGGGTGTCTGTTGTGGGGAGAGGAAGGGAAGGAGATTGTGAGCTGCTCTGATACTCCAAGTGAAGGGCGGGGTATAAATCCAACTCTTCTTTTTCTTCTTCTTACACTTTACACTGCTATGATCTCTTTTTAGGTATTGCAGCTGGATCCTGAAGTTACAGATGAAGAAATAAAGAAGAGATTCCGTCAGGTACATGGCCCTAGGGTAAAATGAATAGCGTAAAGAGCCTTGGATGATACCATTGTGACGTGACTGTGGGCAGAGGGAAAATGACTTCTGGCTCAATGAGAAATTTTTTTGGGGGGGATCTGTAGAGGGAAACAACACTGACTGTGAAATTGGGTGCAGCCTGATCTAAAAGGGAAGTTGGGATTTGCCTCTCCAGAATGCATGATCAACAGCACTCCTTAAGCATCATAAGGCCACATTTTAGCCAGGTTCCAGAGGTTTATTTGCCCTATTGAGTAATAGGTAGTATGCATATGAATAGCGGCATGCCTGATCAGAATGGTCATTCCACGTTTGCTTGTGGGCTGTGAAAAGAATGAGATGTGAATTACATAGTTGGAATCTTGCTGCATTTGTAAATTGACTGAATACTTAGCCACTGTCAGTCTCAGGTGGGTCTCCATCTGTAATACGTTGGAAGATCACACAAGAATATTGTTCCTTGCAATAGTAATCACCTATGGCACCCACCAGTTTGTTTCCTAGCATCCACTTCTTAAGAGGCAAAATCCAAAGGGTCTTGAATGCAAGAGAAAAGGGAAGCTTTGCTTTGCTCCCTCTCAGCGGACTGTCTAGCAAAGCCCACCAAGCACATCACACCTATGTGTCTTCAGTTTGACCATAGATGCACGCTTTCTTATGCTGTTGGGTCGTTGCAACCTCTCTTTGTGTCTTCCTTTTACCTAAGAAATAGTGACTGGCCCATGGTCACCCAGTGGTCATCATGTCTGAGGAGTCAGCCCAGAATTCTGGTCGTTATGGTTGGGCAGTGTGCCCAGGAGCTGCTCTCTGGATCACTAACATTTCTGTTTTGGCATCTGAGGTCTTGGCAGATCCTGTACATGTTTTAAAAGCTTGACTTTCCAAGCATGCGGCCTAGAAACTTATTTTTTTTTTAAAAAAAGAAAGAAAGAAAAAAAATATTATTGCATCGAATTTAAGGTTGCCAAATTCTGCATGGGGTAATGCATTCTGGTCTTGTACATTGAAATCACAAATGTGCACACAAAATATACACAGCTGTAGCTTGTTTTGTTTTTGCACCTGGCTTGAATAAACATTTCAGAAGACAATGTTTTAGCCTCCCTTTGGGAAATTGGTTAGATCTGTTGGGGTCTCTGGAAAAAACACGCAGCACCATTGAACACCAGCTACTGGGAAGTGACTCACTTGAACAGGTCCACAGAGTGGAGGAAGCTGGTTGATTAACAAGCCAAATTTATAGGGCAAATGGAAGATCCAGGAAAGCATTTTCCTCTGAGGAAGAAAAATTAACTGCAAATGTTTGAGTGTCACTTTACTAACAAACTACACAGGGGGGGAAAAAGGGGTAGGCATCCTGTTGCCATGTATGTGATACACTACTTTTTTTTGCTTTGGTGATAGGGATCCATTTGTAACTCAGTTCTTTATCTGTGTCTGATAAAGTGTGTGTGCACCCAAAAGCTTATACCCAGATTTAAACTTGGTTGGTCTTAAAGGTGCCACTGGGCTTAAACTTTGTTCTGTTTTACAGTTATCCATATTGGTGCATCCCGACAAAAACCAAGATGATTCTGAAAGAGCCCAGAAGGCATTTGAAGGTACTTCCGTGACTTTTCTGTGCTGAAAACTCCAGATGGCAGCATTGTACAGATATGTGTGGCTGGCTACGCTGTAGGAGCCAGAGAGATTGATGCTGTCTCTCAGTTGCATCTCGAAAAGTGAATGCAGCTTTGGGTTGTTTTAATTTGCCTTGAGCTCTAGTCACTTAAGCAATATAGATTCTTCAGATTATGTGAATGTGCTGATGGAAGTGTTTGGTTTGTCAGCTGTTGACAAAGCGTACAAGCTGTTGCTGGACCAGGAACAGAAAAAGAGAGCCTTGGACGTGATTCAAGCAGGGAAGGAATATGTGGAGCACATTGTAAGTACAGTGTTTGTTTTTATTTTAAAAAATTTATTTGGGGGGGGGGAACGGGAGAACAAGAAGGGGGGGGGACTCCAAATCCAGCAACTGAATAAAAAAGGGGACAGAGTATATATTTAGTAGAAACAAAAATATAACAACAGTGGTGGCAACAGTGGTGACATACGTTTCTATAAAAGGTTTCCAAATATCTAAAAAATAAATACAGGTGCAGTCATCTCTACAGTATGCATCCATGCATTCAAATATTGATTAAGTTGTAAAGTGCTCATTCCATCAATTTACAAGAGGTAGACATTTATCTTGCCACTGTTGAAATACAGGTTTTTTAGCTGTAGTAAGAGCACGGAAGGTCCATATCCATTGACCATTGATTAGCCTCCAGGAGATGGGCAGATAGTTTGGAAGTGCATAAGAATCCTCAAAAATCAGTGAACGTTCTAATACAAAATCGATATGAGTGATAATTTTCTCCCAGAAACAACAAATGATTGGACATGCCCAAAACATATGTTTAACGGATGTGTCCTGCGAGTTACAGTGCCAGCAATTAGACACTTCATTCAACCCTTTACTAAAGAGTCACTGTGGTGTCCAGTATATCCTAAACACAATTTTTTGCTAAATAAGTCACAACTTGGGATCCATAGAGAGAGCAGGTCTAAACTTTAAGGCCACATCCTACTGCTGTGGCAGAAGAGGGTGATCTAGCTCCTTATTCCATTCATTCCTGAGACTGTGCATATATTGTACATAGAATGTGTATGAGAGTGTCCTAGTTTAGGATCTGTTTACCGTGCTAGGAGCCTGGGGAATGGCTTCTTCTGTATGCCCCTTGTTATGTGGTGAGGTGGTGCTATGGTCTCTCCAGAAAACTGCTGGCCTGTTTGATCAGCATCAGATGGGAGGTTTTTTTTGAATGAGCTCTCAGAGCTGGGGCCGTGCCTTTCACAGTGTTTGCATGTGGCAGGCTGTCTCTACAGCACAGTTGCCCTCGGAGAAACAGAAAGAAAAGGAACATAGAAACCAGCCATTTTGTAGTAAACGAAAGGAAATCTATCATTGCAACTTCATACAGCTGCAGTACTAAGGGATGTGAATATACAGCTATACTCTTCATTATTCAGTGTGTCACTTGAAAATACACTGGATATATCTGGGCTCTCCCCCTGCCCACACTTCCAAAAGCTGTAGGGGGACTGTGTCACCTGCAGCACTAGGTGGATAAGGAAGCCCTCCCAGGATATACAGAATTGGAGAGTGAGCTTGGTAAAAATTTACATGGGTAGGAGTGAACTTGCTTTGCTTTGAATACTGTGTCTGGCTTCCCAGTTACACAATTGCATTGTAATGGCATTATACAATAGAGATAGGAGAAGTCACAAGGCATTTCATTTCTCTCTGTTCTATTTCCCATTGCAAAGAACAGTGAGTTCTAGAGGCGTGGCCATTGTTAGCGTGCTGCAGCATGAGCCATGACCAAAGAGGAAATAGTGGCACTTTGCAGGCAGCTCTAGTTTGGCAGCGTTCATAGATTAGAGCCCACTTTGTCAAATAGGTGAAGTGGTATCCTCACTTAGTGTTGCAGATATGCACATACAAGCTGGGACCTGTGAGGGTGCAAGGAAGGATGACACAGACACAGTTTGGACATTTCTCTGCCACCTAGGTCTCCCTGTCAAGGATTCTGTAAACTCTCAGGTGCTTAAGCAAGTCAATTTTCTCCATTTCCCTACTTTTTCCCTCTGACTCTCAATATATTGTGTCTCTTTGCGCATGCTCAGTCCTTACCAGGCTGTTTCAGCAGAGCCTTGTTTCCACTTTTGGCTAACTTACAAAGTCATATTTTTCTTTTTGTCTGGGGAATCTTCTGAATATGCAGACCCTGCCTTGCTTATCTGTGGGTTACCTGTGTGTGCTGCTGTCATGACTGGCACAAGCCCTCCCAGTTTACTATTAAACACAAGTGATAATGTACACACTACACACAATAAACATTGGGACCAAGAAGCCATGAAAGGCAAGAGGTGATAACATATAGTGTTTTGTATTGCAAAGGTTAAATGTATACAAGATAAAACATAGGAAAAGTGACGTGTATAATTTATCAGCAAGCTTGGTTCCGTTGAGGAAGGGCTCTGTGGAGAACAAGCTGTTCTCTACCACTGCAAGTGTTAAATTAATAGAGTAGGGGAAGGAAGATGGTATTATCCCGAGATGCTGCCGTTGTCCTGTTGCTTCTTGTATACATTTGAGCTTTGCTTAAAAATGTCACCAGCTGTAACTCTCTAAAGATAGTTTTAAAAGGGGATTAGACAGATTCATGAAATTTCCTGGTGCTTTGGCTCAGTAATTCCTGGGGGTTTTTTTCTTTGCCTCTGTCACACAGAGCTTTTAATGTCCCACAGGCCTCATTTTCTTTTATTCAGGGTAACGACAGGCTTTGTCCAGGGTGTTTTCCTTGCCTTGAATATTTTTTTTCTTTTTCTTTTTTTGGTGCCTTGAATATTTTAAACCATTCTAGATTTCTGCTAAGTGAAGAGATGACAGCAGGGCTTTACGCAACACCCTTTAAAATGATACATGTGACGCAAGGTTCTGTAACAAGTCTATACAGAAAGTGGCACAAGTCTTGAGGAGCAAATTGTCAAGTGGGTGAGCTTTCTGTGCATCTGCTCATTTCTAGGTGAAAGAGAAAAAGAAGCAGTTAAAGAAGGAAAGCAAGCCAACCAACGTCGAAGAGGATGATCCAGAAGTAGTAAGTTGGCTTGTAATATTTGGTTTGCAGGGTTCAGGGTATAAGGCCTGGAACATACCCTATTCCTTTATGACTTGAGAGCAATCCTTTCAGCACCACCTCCATGTCATCCTTTTAACTCAGGGGTCCCCAACCTTTTTGAGCCTGTTGACACCTTTGGAATGCTGACAAAGGGTGGTGGGCACAGCAACAAAATGGCTGCCACAGGAGGCGGAGCCAATCACACACAGGAAGCCCAAGTGCAGGGGACAAGAGGAGTAATTTTTAAAAAAACCACACACTGAGAAAGAGGAGTAAGAGAGAATAGAGACAGAACTGGAGGCAGCTGCTGTAGAAGAAACATTATTTTAATCTGCACAGCCAGTCAGAAGATCTCCAATGGCCAATAAGAAGCCCTGCTGGGCAGAAGCCCCCCCTGGCTCCACCCACTTTCTAAAAACATTTGATAGGCACCAGGAAATGTGTTAGTGGGCACCACATTGGGAAGCCCTTCTTTAACTGGAGAGGAGAGCAAGTATTCGCAAAGCTGGTGCTCTGTCACTGTCCTTCCACCACTCCCATTTACAGAGAGAAAACGCTTCTGTCTCCCTCTTTCTATTGTTTGGGGGCTAATTTTGCCACTGTTAGATGAGATCTATTGTGTTTGACTTTTTGGATTACTAATCTTTTAAGAAAGGGAAACCAACTGCATCCCTAGTAATGTTATGGCAATCTGACAAAAAGTTTTCCTGAAAGACATCTCTAAGTTTCTAGAGTTACGTGCCTCTGTTTCCAGATGGGCCACAGGAATGATATGCTAATGGGAGGGCCTGGTAACAGAGCAAGCAAAATTGGGGGGGGGGGGCGCAGATCGGTAACAGGAAAAATGGAAGAAGAGGTAGTGTTATTAAATAGGTAATTCCTGACTCATTTTGACAAGGTGCAAATTGCCTGGTGACTTCTGATGTGTTTTGGCTTTTTTTTACAACAGTGATGTTCAGCAGTTTGTCTTCTCCCAATACACTAAGCATAGAGGAGTGTGTCTTCAGACACAGTGTCATTTGGAAGTGTTAGTTCTACTTCATTTGCTCAGTAAGAAAGAGATGCCGTTTCATGTTCGGCAAACTGCTGAACAAATTCTCCTGATGTGCTGGTAGAAAGTGCTGTCAAGACACACTCAGCTTACAGCAACCCCATAGGGTTTTCAAAGCAAAAGACAAACAGGTGGTTTGCTATTGCCTGCCTCTGCATAGCAACCCTGGACTTCCTTGGCAGTCTCCCATCCAAGTACTAACCAGGGCCAACCCTAAGAACATAAGAGAAGCCAATGTTGGATCATCCAGTCCATCCAGTCCAACACTCTGTCACACAGTGGCCAAAAATACCAGATGCCATCAGGAGGTCCAGCAGTGGGGCCAGGACACTAGAAGCTCTCCCTCAGTTGCCCCAACCCCAAGCACTAAGAATACAGTGCATCACTTGCCCCAGACTGAGGCATGCTTAGCTTCCAAGACCTGATGAGATCAGGCTAAGTCTGGGCTATCCAGACAGTCAAAATGTGTCTTGGAATTGCCTCTTAATCAGGTTTTTTAATC